AAAAATGTTTAATGGGCGCACCAAGAGACTGGAATTGTAAAACATTTCTGACTAACTCACCAGAAGAATTTGTATTCTGCAACAGAACTCAGGAAAATTTGTGCTACTTTCTTGTAATAAAACACCATAAAGAAAGAAATGGTAATTATGTGCAGTTCATTATATGCAGCTGATAGATACCTTTAAGTACTGCAACAGCTTGCTAATGTACTCCTAGTATTTGAATAAATACCTGAAGTAAATACGTTGATGAAACCTCTCATAAACTGCCAGGTGGGTAAGGGGCTATTATGAAAGTACCATAACTTGCTCAGTTGTGTCTTTGTACAAGCTGTTCCTGAGCAGGTCTGTAGGTGACTGGATCGGAGATCACAGGCAGACATAGAGGTTTGTGGAAAACTGCATTTAGTTTAACAATGGAGATTCAGATAGGCTGCACCAGAATATGAAGACCAAACACACCAAGGTAAATTCCTCTGAATTGCAATTTAGTTTTCAGTGATTAGTCTGGGACTACTAAAATTATAACCTTCCTCACCAATTTTCTTGGGGGTCATTTGGAGGCAAACCTAAAAAACTATTTGTTGTGTTTTAAAATATACCACTATCAATTAGAGGACAAATTTCATAATTCAAGAAAAATCCCTCAGTGAAACCTATAACTTTATTTGTAATCATCTGTAGTAATTCTTAGAGCAGACTGCATGTTAGAGCCAGACTATGCTGTATCTCTCCTCCCTGTCTCTTAAAGGAACCAGCACTGAACTGAGCACCTTTTGCATTCTAGGTTTCTCAGAAATTCAACAATCATCCCAATCTGATTTGTTTCCTTCCTCTCCTCTCCACTCCCTTCCCTCCCTACCTCCCCCAAACATCATAGCAATCTTAAAATTTGATGTCTCAAAGTCTCATTATTCTTCTGGGAGCGTGACTATTTTCCCATTTCATGGTAGCCTACAAGACTGATTGTTTTCTTGGAGCAGGCTGCATGGGGCCAGGCATTCAGCCTTGGCAGGGCAACACATTTAGGTAATTTTATCAGTTAAAACCTTTGTCAGGTTGGCTGGAGAAGCAAGAGCCATGTGGCAGTGCAGCTTCTCCTGCTCCTTATGTGCCATCTCCAAGGTCCTTTCCCATGGAACCAGTCCCAGCATTCTAAATCTGAGAGAGCAGTCAAAATATTAGTCAGGCTTTCCTTCAGAGGTATGATTTTATTCCTCATCTGCCGATTAGACATTTTATTTTTGTAATGTTATTTATTTAAAGCACTTTTTCTTGGCATGAGATGTTTGTTATCTAAATTTAAGTGGGGCTGTGGATGCTCTCAAAAGAACACTGACCTTTAAGCATATGTATAACATCTGTAAGAAACAGTTGGAAAACCTATCACGTGCTTCTTCAGGTAAAACTGCATTGTACTCCTGCAAAGCTTTTTTCAAACCCCTTCTTTTCACATCATACATCAACAACAGTGTTATTTATTAAAAGCTGAAAAAACCTCTTCTATTGGCCTGAATATTCTAACACAGAATATAAGGTGCCCATAGGTGAAATTGGTAGTGCAAAAAAGAAAACAGAAAACACCCAGTGAACCTTTTTTTTTCTACTACTTTTAGCTTTCAAGCACTCATCTGCTAAATAACCTCCTTTTTAGCATCCATTTTTCTCCCTGCTAAATATGTGCTACTAAAATGACTCCACCTGACTAATCATTCCTCAAGCATTTAAACACATTAGCTAAGTGGTTTTCAGGGGTCAAAGCAAGTGGTTGGTAAACCTCAGATAATGCTGGCAACATTTCAGAGATTCAGATGATTATCCAAAATTTACCCAAGCTCATCTCAGCCTCCTCTGGCTAAAAGCTCAGTGAGGATTGCCATTTTTTATCATTTCAGGTTGGCCATAAAAAGCAGCAGGTCTTTTGTTTGTGCTGCTGTCTTCCAGTTTTCCTTAAGACACTTTCTATATAGACTAATGTTTCTTTCATACATTTCAGATTATATGGGTGAAGAATCTACCTAAATGGATGGCAGACTGAGAATGGCTTTGGGTGCTGGGTTTAGGGCATCATATTCTGGACTTGCTGATGCAGCTATGTCACGTGGCCATGGCAAGGCACCCATGGATGTGCACACTGTCACGGGCTCCTGATCCCTTGAGTGCAGCCACTGAAAGAGCTTCCACTCAGTGCTGGTGTTTTGGCTTATGGATATTTTCCTTGCAGGATACAGCTTGTGACACATGAGCCCTGCAGTCTCAGGCAAGGGGGAAAGCTCTAAAGATCTGAACAAAAGAACAAGCCCTGTCCCTCTCCAGCCACCATTTTCTCCGGTGTGCTCCTTTGGCTGCACTAAATACCCAGACTAGCGTTCCAAACAATGTTTTGTTTCCTGAGGCCATGCTCTCTCCTTGCCTTACAAGAGTTTGCTTTCACCTCAGCCACCATTAAGTGAAACTGAAGCCAGTTTCCTGGGCTACAAAGGCATTTCTCTGCTCTCTGAGGCTCTTTGTGTGCTCCCTGCCCTGAGTTGTACTCAGCCCTCAGAGTCACTGTGGCAGGACAAGTTCTTGTGTGTCCAGGGCCAGGCTGGCTCCTGGCAGGATGTGTGGGTTTGCTGAGGGCCAGCAAGCCCTGGGGCAGGTGTAGCCCAGCCCATTGGAGCTGGGCAGGAGAAGCCAGTGCCTGTTTGCCACACTGTGTAAAGCCCAAAGCACAGAACCTGGCTCGCACTCCGCGTGTTGCATCCGCACCCTTTGTCCCTGCTGCGAAGATGGAGGTAAAAGACACTGAAGAATTTGACTATCCTCTTTGGAAATACATGAGCATCTTCCCCCTTCCCCTCTCCCTGAGCTCTGGGATGGTATTTCATCACTATCTGAGTGATCATAGAAAGTTTAACCTGCAAAATTATGCGCTCTAAATGACAACCATTTTGCTCTCAAGGTGAAAGGCTTGGAGACAGAGAGTAAGAAAGAAAGAAAAAGAGAGCCAGTTTCCATGACAACCCAATGAAACTTATACACCATAGGAAAATGTCATTTTCCGAAAAAGACAGAACTTCATGGACAAGAGGTACAGTACATCAGGAAAGAAATTGCAGTTTTAAATGAAAAGCTCATTTACATTTATGGTTTTGAGTTTCCTTCTCTAGTTACAAGACCCAATTGTAGACAATTTAGTAGTGAAAATTATATTCAGCATTTCAGGTGAATAATGTAGATTATGATCTAGTTCAGCCAGAAGTTCATTGTGGCAGACTCGGGTTCAGAGAACATAGGCGTGGGTGGATTCTGCTTTAGCTGGGCTTATGCTGCAGCATCAGAGAAGTTATTGACATTTTACACCCTCTAACAGACCTTGCAAAGTCAGGATCCGTCCGTAGCTGTTGAGATTCCTGCCACAGCTTGCAATTTCAGCACCTGAAGTTATACCTTCTAGATTCCATGCTACCTGTGATACCGTCAATCACCATCCATTGTAAGCCACATTGCATAGGAGAGCATTTTATGATGAGCATTAGCGTTGTAATATAGCAAAGAGCATTGTTAATGAAGCATGGAAAAAGAATAAATTCTGCTAATGGGTATATGTGTCAAATTTCAATTAGGGATATGTTGGAAAGTGAAAGAGAGCGACGAGCATACAAATTAAACCTTTGACCTTCAGAGTAAAGGGAGAAAAACCCGAGAGAAAAGGGGGATGTTCAGAGATGTTTTCATAGCTGAAAGCTGAAAAGTCTGAGTACAAACTTTGAAGTACTCTTTTCTCTTTAATTACTACTGTTTAAGAAGTGACTCAGAAAAATTCTGTTTCAATTCAGCTGGTTTGTTGACAGCTCTATTACTGTTTGTGCTATTTGCTGCTAGGGGGAGAGATAAAGGTTGGGAGCAGTTTGTGGTGAAGGCAGACAAAATCTCACCTTTATGAAGCCTAGGCAGAGGATATTAAAGCTTATCCTTCCCTGCCTGTGAGGTGCTACTGGAAAGACCCTCCTTCTCACTCCTCTTAGGCTTTCAAACAGGTCTTAGCTGAGTCAAATCGTGTTTTAATGCCTAATCGGATGTGCATGGCTTTTGAATGCAAATAAACAGTAGTGGGGGGGTTGCAGCAGGAGCAAAGCTGAGCAAGCTGCAAGGGCTGGACACGGCTCAAGGCACCTGGCAATTGGTAGCTCACATTTGCGGTGATAGTGAAGGGAGCAGTGGCTCACAGACACTGCAGTGGGTTCATACAGGTGCTATTGCAACCCTGCACACATGATTTAACATCAGCTGCTCTACTAAGGCAGTGTAGGATGAATTCAGCTTGAGTTTAATAAGCAAAATTGCCATTACATGTACATGCACCAGGGTTTAATTCCTCATTTTTCTGCATGAGGAGTGAGGGTCTGTCTCACAGAGCACTGAGGCTTGTGTGGAAAACTGCTAAGACCTGAGCCCATGTCCATTGCCCTGACAGAAACAAACGTGCTGGTGCTCTTGTGACTTGACTGCTAGAGAAAGCTTCCTGGGATGCTTGTGTGTGAAGCACACCTGAGGACAGTGCTGGGACAGACACCTCTGCCTGTGCCCTGCCAGATTAAAAACAGCAGGCAGGAAGTCACCTCTCATTGCCAGCCTAGCAAGGAAACAAAACCCACTTGTGTTATTTATGCCACAGAAAATTAATACAATTAATACTTTGAGGTTCCAGAAATATTTTGTCCAGGACCAGAATGTTTGGCCAGGAGATCAACCCCTGATAGATCTCGAAGTGTATTCTCAAGTTGTTGCCATGGGATTTCATTTCCCACAAAAGTCCATCAATTTAAGGTTCTCCCTTATCTTTATTTTGCCTTTTTTTAATCACAAAAGCCTCTGGATCCTTGGCAGTGCTGTCCTTCCTCTCATCTCCAGACACCTCACTGCTCTGTGGGTGTCTGCAGCCAGCTGCAGGTTTAAACACAGCTCAGGGCTCAAGTTGGTGTCAAATTCAATACAGAAGGCAAGATTATAGTTACCTGCTGGGTAGTAAATCCTTGAAGGCATGAGGGAAAGGAATCTCTGTGTCTTGGGGACAGTTCAGTGTCAAGCTTACCAGGAAGAGCCCACGTGGGCCTGGAAAGACCTCAATGCTCTCTGGACATTTGGTTTCCACCTACAAACAGAGCAGATGTTTCAAACATCACAATCCCTCTTTGCCGAATACTTTTTGAGTCTGTAGTAAGTGTATGTAAATGATTGCTATCAAAAGCATATATTACACAGAAAACTGTGTTTTGCTTCTTCTTGCTATCAAAAGCATATATTACACAGAAAACTGTGTTTTGCTTCTTCAAAAGCTCATGTAAAGACCAGAGAAATGTTGAATTTTTCCTTCATTCAGAATTACTAACATTTTTCTTTGTAAGTTTTCAACTATGACAGGTATCTCAGAAATATTGCATGATTTTTCTTGGCATCTGATAATGGATATATGGATAGCTAATTATCCTGTTAAATCATATGACATCACTTTTGTTTCATGACTGAATGATGTATGTCCCTGTAAGTAGGTAATACAGGAGTATTTCTAAATGACAAAATTTGCTTTGACAAATCCTGCAGGTTGAAACCTTAAATTCTCTTAATTCTCCTATGTCAGCACAAATTTAAGATTGGTTTTCCAGCTTTTGTATTTGCTTTCGGTAGCTAGAAAGAAAATATTTTCAGAAGAGTATCTTCTCTAGTCTAATGAACATTTACATGTTTACTTACGACTATATTGATTGGTTTTAATAGCATAAATAGGTAACATTACTGTTATTGGATAAATATTATTCTGTGGAAGCATACTTCCAGTCTTAATATTCTCATTTACAGGTTAAAGAAGGAGGAATCTTCTGTGAACTTCCTGCAATATTTGTTTCCAGCTTCTGTTTAAGTGAAAATCCTTGCCAGAAAACTTGTCAACAAGACATTCAGGGAAGTTTTATTTGCTCTAGTGTATTGAACCATAGGAAGATGATATCCTATTTTTGTACTTTTAAGAGCAACCCCTCAATGAAAAAAACTGCTTTCTTTAAAAACAAGCCCCACATAAGCTGATGTTCTCCAGGCAATGCCCAGATGTTGCAAAGGAGGTTGGATATTTGTGGGCAGACACAGCAGGTTGGCACAGGGGAGTGAGGTCCTCCAGTGTGTCATCTGGACCTGGCACAAAGATGGAGCAAGGAAAGCAGGTGAGGGGTGCAGCAGTCTATTAACGCGGAGTTTTAACTGCCTGAGTCGGTTTTACCTGGGGGGAATTTCTTCCTGTTTTGCCAGTTTCTTTCCAAAAACCTTCAAGCTTCAGATAACTGCTTTTTCTTTCCACAAGAAGCAGAGATGATCAGCTGGGTGCTACAGGTAAATTGCCCACAACTATACCACTTCTTGCTGAAGTCAGGGCTGGAGATCCTGACTCAAAGCTGCAGCTCATTTCTTGTCTTGCTAGTGAGGATGGAGATCTTCCCTACTTGCCAACTATGGATTTCCCTGCTGATTAGAAAGAGTATCTAATGCAATTTAAATTTGACATTGGGGTGTTGCCACCAGACATAGCAGCGTTCCTCAGTACATTAGAAGGAGGAGTTGGGTGAGTCAGGGAAGAAATTAGGCTGCTTTAATTTAGGGCTGGCTGGGTATGCACACTGCACCAGCAGCTCAGTATGCTCAGAGAGTCAAATAGATTAAATGCAGCAATTTATTGCCAAGATGAAGGATTTAAGCACATGTGTTTATGTTTTACACCTCTAACCTTGCCTCTGTTGTGCAGACTTCAAAATTGCACCAGTGAGAAGAGGATGAATATGGCTATCTTCAGGTATAAAATGGAGAGCCTAGGAAATTTAAAAGATAGAAAAAATGAAGAGTATGAAGAGTCCTTCTACCACTCAAGGAATTTTTCAGGATCCTTCTGCTATTTGATGCAATATAGATTTCTACAATACATTGTTAGGAGAATGTCATAAAACATAGATTAATGATTGCATTTTCATCCTTTTGATGTGCCATTTAATGAGGTGTATTCCCTTTCATACTCAACATCAAAAAGACATCTGCTGGAATTCTTCACATATGCATCAAATAAGTTTTTGTGTTAACAGGTATAATCATCTAGGCAAGAGAATGCTGCTTTTATATCCACTGTTTTGCAGCTGATTTGATACAGGCAGTCTAGTACTAGTGTTTGCTCACTAGAGTAATTGAAAATGCATGGGCAAGTTCTGCAGCTCAAGCCCACTCTGCTTCCCAGCCCCAAATGAAAGGGAACAAGGTCTCCCTCTCTGTAAATTAGATTAAGTTTGCAGTTTAAAGAGCTTTTAAGCATACTTTAAATTTACAGAATTTGTAGCTTTCATTTTAATCAATATTCTTTTTAAGAGGTCCTACTTTTAAGACTTCCAACTTTTATGATTGTCTATAAAGTGAATACAATTATTCTGAAAGCACTTGTTTGGTGGTATGTTGACAAGATGTCCAGCTTTCCATAACTGTGGATTTGCTTCTGCGGGTAACTATGATTTTTACTAAATAATCACACCACAGGTATCTTGAGCAAGCTTGGGCTTGCAGAAAAAATTACCTCCTAGAAAGACTGAATTACCTCCTAGATATACTGAATCTGGCTCTGCTGTTGAAATTATTTCATTTGAAAACCATGAGCATATTGGTTTTTCAGTTCAGACAAATTTTACAACTTTTATCACTGATTACACCCTTGTGCTACCACTGTTGGGAGAACATGGAGAAATCCTCTTCCTTCCAGGTATTTGTTCCCATTGCCTTCAGGCAGTTTTTTAGCTGTTGGCTGGCTACAAGTGTGAGGTTTGATTTTTCACACAACTTACCAGGGGGGGTTCTGGTACAAAGCCCTCTGTGGGGTCAGGCATTATCTTGGACTTGTTGCCAGGTTTGCTGCCACAACAGTTTTATTCCCTGCCATTTCTAAGGGCTTCAGTATGGTCTGAACAAGTGTCCCAGTAGATAGCAGTGTTGCCTAAAAGTGCTGGGAATTTGTATGAACAAAGCTTTCTACTATATATTCCAAAAATTTATGCTATACCTTAAGACTATTCATTCAAACACAATATGGGCAAATTGCAGGATGTCTCCCAAAATATAAGCTGTAACAAATATGGATTTTGACATTCATTCCTACACATTTTTGCATTTAATCAACCTGTTCTTCTTTATGCCACCCAGTCATTTAGTGCCTAAATTCTAAAGACATTTTACAAGACCAGTGGAATTATTTTTTAAAATATAATGAGAGAGAAAGCTCTGTTTTGTTTCAGGCAAAAACAAATTCAAATAATGCTCTCTAGTTCTCTTTATAATGATTGGATATGCAAAAGCTGGTTTTAAATTCTGTTACTCATCTCCAGCAGCAGGCTCAGCTGAAGGAACACAGGAGAGTTTTATACAATGTTTTGCAGATACATCATTTTTCTGAACTAAGGTGAAGGCTGGTTTGCATAGAGCTGGGTGCAAGTGAATAAGCACAGCCACTACTACTATTATGCCATTTGCTCTTTCTCTTGTTCCAGGAAACAGCACAAATGCTTTTCTTTTCTTTTTTAAAAAATATTTGGATTATATTAATTCATGCCTATTTGTCCCTGACTAATTGCTCACCTCTGACTACAGCTTCAGGTCCTAAGTTTAACTACTGCCTTCCCAAGGTGCTAATAGGAACAGGATATATATCCAAAAAATGTCTAATGTCTATTTATGAGCAAACCATACTAATAAATAGAGAATTGTTTACTTATTGCTTTGAGAAATGTTCCCCAGTTTTCTTAAGTTTCTTATCAATGAGTCCTCTTGCCATGACAATGTCTATATCTATCTATTGATCTATCTAATCTCTTCTATATATATACACACATAGGTATGTCTTATATATGTATATATCTATACATGTATATAAATTCAATATATGAAATCCTGAAATGTTACACTGAGAACTAACGCTATCCACAGGGTTTGAAGATTTGAGCTAGAAGTCCATTCTTCCCACAGACCTTAGAGTGACAGGTGGCTTTGAATGAATTTTTAAATATATCTTTGGAGATTTAAAAATAGTTTTATACCAGAAGGCAAATATACAGTAGCTTCTCCTGTGAAGCTTATCTTTCAATTGGCAGTAAATAGTGTATGGCTCAGGGATTTTTGATCTTGTTTGGCCTATCCATTCTGTTATACCTGAATGGGTTGCTTTAATATGCTATTGAGATGAGCTCCCACTCTGGAAGGTCATTACATGGTAATGAATTACCAGTTTTTCTTATTCTGAAGCCCAGCAGCTCTCTCAGAGCGCAGTACCATCACCAGGGAGAGGCTGGGGGGAGCATCTCAGGTGAGGGGCTGTGATTTGTGAGCATGGGCAGCCAGGAAACCTTCCCTTCATCAGCTGTGCCATGTCTTTATCACACAGTAGAGAAACAGAGTTTTGTTTTGTTGCTTTTTACCCCCCTAAAAGATTATATTATATAACAATCATAAGGAACAATCAAATATGGTTGTTCTAAGCTTATATAATGTCCTCTAATTGAAAACTTTGTGTACCCCACGTCTTCCTTTTTAAGTATAAATGGATACTTAGTGAATAAGATGGCTGACTTGAACTGAAATGAAAATGCAGGTGAATCTTAGTGAGCCAGGACCCTGTATTGTATATTGATTGACATTTTTCATGATTTGATGTAGGTAAAATAGCTTCTATTTCAGGATAAATATTTATTTATTCTTCAGGGCAATATGTGTCCTGAAGAAGAGAGTCTGTGGTGCGAAGAAGTGCCAGCTAATAGATGGCATAGAAGACCTAAGGTGAACTACATATGAACTTCTTTTACACAGAACTCTTCAAATGCTGGCAGTAACACAATCACTCTGATAAGAAAGCCAAAGAGTAATTACTGAGCACTGGGATGGTTAGCTACCACCTGAAGGCATAATTCTGCAAGACAAGTGCACATGGACTTTGACAACAGATAAGACTTCTGATTTCCTACACAGCAGAAAACTCTCCACCTTAACCACTTACAATAACATTACTTGTTTGATTATTATCATTCATCTTTTGCATTATACAGAAATGTAGTTCCAGCGGAGGTAAAATACCTTCGAAATTAC